TCAACAGTAAAAACAGATGTCAGAAAGACTGAAGTTGATGGACACGTCTCTTTTCAGCTGTGTAACTACTGTAATTTGCAAAAATTACTGCAGCTACAAGTCTACTCCCTTTTGGACAGAAAAGTTAAGGATTCCTCCTGCTTGTCTAAGCACTTAAACCATGTGTATTTCCTAGGCTCAGACATTCTGTGAAGGAGCCATGGTTATGCAATTGTGTCTATAGCTCCATTCACAACCTTATTTAGGGCCACCACTAGGTGAACTAGACATTTGCTTAGGGCGCTGGCCTGCTGGGGGCGCCCACCGGGATATTTCCTGATGGGCTCCCCCTGTCTTGGGCCGCAGTGCTGGGCGAACAGCTCTAGAGCCGCCTCCCCTCAGCGCTGTGCCGCTCCTCCAGGCGCCCGAAGGTGGGGGCGCCCAGAAGTGCCCTGTCACAGTATGGCAGAGCAGGCACCTTCTTACCTTGATGACAGTTACCTGCTCTGCCATCAAATGCCGGTGACCAGAGGAGAGGGGGAAGGAGCAGGCAAGCGGCGAGAGAGGCTCTTTTTGAAACCACTTACTCCTCCCTCGTTTGCCCTCTGTGATGCCGAAGCCGCAATATGACGTGAGTGAGTGTGTGTGTGTGTGTGTGTTTCAGTGAGTGAGTGTATGTATGTCTGTCAGTGAGTGTGTGTGTGTGTGTCTGTGTGTCTGTCAGTGACTGTGTGTGTGTGTATATGTCTGTCAGTTGTCAGTTAGTGAGTGCATGTCTGTCAGTGAGTGTTTGTGTGTGTGTGTGTGTGTGTGTCTGTCAGTGAGTAAATGTAGGTCTGTCAGTGAGTGTGTGTGTGTGTGTCTGTGTGTCTGTCAGTGAGTGTGTGTGTGTGTGTGTGTCAGTGAGTGAGTATATGTCTGTTAGTGAATGTATGTGTTTGTTATTGAGTGAGTGTATGTCTGTCAGTGAGTGTGTGTGTGTGTGTATGTCAGTAAGTGTGTGTGTGTGTGTGTGTGTGTGTGTATGTCTGTCAGTGAATGAGTGTATGCCTGTCAGTGAGTGTCTGAGTGAGTGTATGTCTGTCAGTGAGTGTGTGTATGTCTGTCTGTCAGTTAGTGTCTGTGTGAGTGTATGTGTGTGTGTCAGTGAGTGAGTGTCTGTCAGTGAGTTTCTGTGTGTCAGTGAGTGTGTGTGTGTCAGTAAGTGAGTGTATGTCTGTCAGTGAGTTTCTGTGTGTCTGTGTGTCTGTGTGTGTGTCAGTGAGTGAGTGTATGTGTGTCAGCGTGCGTATATCTGTCAGTGAGTGAATGACATGAAGGGGTGGCAAAATGGATCTTTGCCTAGGGCAGCAGAAATCCTTGCACCAGCCCTGGCAGTACCATTAACCTAATCTGATTAATTTAACTGCTTTCAAGTGCTTGATTACTTGTCCCATAAAGCACTTCCTGGTCTGCTCACTGCAACAGCTGCAAATCCCAAAATTGTGCAGTGAAACTTCAAATTGAAATTTATTTTATATTGTATTATTTATGTATTTTGATAATGCATTAGTTTTTTTTTTAATACATTCATAAATGAGAGCGAACTCCAGCCTGCATTATCCCTTTAATGGGATGATTGATGTTAGCTGTTTCCCATCAAAATTTCACAACCATAAAGCAACATGAATTGGTGATTCATCAAGGAAAGCAGTGGTAACTGCTTCTAAGTTTATGCCATCTATTTTTGCCATTAATACGTTTATGAACAGAGTTGTTGTGAGTGCTGATTGCACAACTGGCATTCAAACGCCCACTTCTCTAGTACTCTCACACAACTGGTCATTGGAGGCAGGGATTAGAATGGTGTGTGCCCACACATTATATGCCACCAAACAGTTATTTGTAGAGTGCAGAAGGAAGACACACTATGCTTGGGTCAAAAGGGATGGGTATATGGTCTCAATTTTTGCGGTACTGGCATGTCAGTACAAATTATATCCATAGAAATCATGCAATAATGATTCTTCAATACGCCTGGTAAATGGAAGGGAAAAGGTAACAACAAGGAAGTGATAGAAAAAATTGTTGCTATAATTTTAGAATTGCACAACTGGGGTTTTCCCATATTGTGAACTATTCAGAATACCCGTGACCATGGCATCAGTTGGTTATATTTTAATCAGAATCCGAAGATGTCTACCTAAAATGTATGTATTATAGATATAATTCCACCCTAGTGATTCCATTCCATAATGTGGAGCTATCCATTCATGATAATTGTTGATGTAGCTGCAAGACAAACACATAGTGTGTTGGGGGGGAGGGGGGTTAACATGAACTCAAGAAGCATGATGGGTGCTGTTCCATTATACTTTCTCTATAATACTGCTTAACATCTTGAATTAGCAGGTTTATTATGGACATGTTTGTTATCACTGTCAATTTGAGTTGCCAAATCAGCATTTTGTCCTTTTTTCATGGAAACATCTGACTTCACCAGTGGCGGATCTACCGCAGTCGCAGGGGTCACAGCTGCAACAGGGCCCGTCACTCCAGGGGACCCGGCCATCTTGCGGACTCCTGCGACCGCGGTGCCCGTCCAGCTTTAACCGCTGGGCCGCCTTGAAGGGTCCATCGGGTGGCCGATGCTGTTAGGGCCACCCGATTGCAATGAATTTCCAGGGGACCCAGTCAGCTCTGCAGCGCTTTAACAGTGCCCCCTGAGATGACATCAGCGACACTCCTCCCACCTTACACAGAGAGCCACGCGGGAGGAGGAGGGAGAGGAGGGAGTCAGAGTGGGAACGCTGACTTCCATCAGGCTGAGCCACTGGACCCCTGAGTTTGACTTAATTTAGCAAAAATCTAAAATATCCCAAAATGGAAAATCAGCATACAGTGCTCTGAAATTAATTTGAGATTATTTTAGTTTGTACTGTTGAAACATAGAATGTGACGACAGATAAGAACCAATCGGCCAATATAGCCTGCCCAATTTTTTAAATACTTTCATTAGTCCCTGGCCTTATCTTTTAGTTAGGATAGCCTTATGCATATCCAATGCATGCTTAAACTCCCTCACTGTGTTAACCTCTACCACTTCAGCTGGAAGGCTATTCCATGCATCCACTACCCTCTCAGTAAAGTAATACTTCCTGATATTATTTTTAAACCTTTGCCCCTCTAATTTAAGACTAAGTCCTCTTGTTGTGGTAGTTTTTCTTCTTTTAAATATAGTCTCCTCCTTTACTGTGTTGATTCCCTTTATGTATTTAAAGGTTTCTATCATATCCCCCCGTCACGTCTTTCCTCCAGGCTATACATGCTAAGTTCCTTTAACCTTTCCTTGTAAGTTTTATCCAGCAATCCATGAACCAGTTTAGTAGCCCTTCTCTGAACTCTCTCTAAAGTATCAATATCCTTCTGGAGATACGGTCTCCAGTACTGCGTACAATACTCCAAGTGAGGTCTCACCAGTGTTCTGTACAATGGCATGAGCACCTTCCTCTTTCTACTGCTAATACCTCTCCCTATACAACCAATCATTCTGCTCTATTACATTATCTGCCCTTCTTTAAGTCATCAGAAATAATCACCCCTAAATCTCTTTCCTCAAGTGTTGAGGTTAGGACTCTATCAAATATTCTGCACTGTGCCCTTGGGGTTTTATGCCCAAGATGCATTATCTTGCACTGATCCACATTAAATGTCAGTTGCCACAGCTCTGACCATTTTTCTAGTTTACCTAAATCACTTGCCATTTGGCTTATCCCTCCTGGAAAATCAACCCTGTTACATATCTTAGTATCATCAGCAAAAAGACATACCTTAAAGAGAATGGGTCCAAGTACAGATCCCTGAGGTACCCCACTGGTGACAAGCCTATGCCTTGAATATACTCCATTGACTACGACCCTCTGTTGCCTGTCACTCAGCCACTGCCTTACCCATTCAACAATATTGGAATCCAAACTTAAAGATTGTAGTTTATTGATAAGCCTTCTATGTGCAACTGTGTCAAAAGCCTTACTGAAATCTAGGTAAGCAATGTCTACTGCACCACCCTGATCTATCATTTTAGTTACCCAATCAAAAAAAATCAAAAGGTTAGTTTGGCATGATCTCTTAGTTTAGAACCTGCAAGAAAACACCGTACTTATTATATTAATTTGAAAAAAAAAAACACAGTATACATATATACAGTGCCTTGCAAAAGTATTCACCCCCTTGACTTTTTACCTATTTTGTTACATTACAGCCTTAAGTTCAATGTTTTGTTAATCTGAATTGTATGTGATGTATCAGAACACAATAGTCTAAGTTGGTGAAGTGAAATTAGAAAAATATATACATAAAACTATTTTTTAGAAATAGAAAACAGAAAATTGGCATGTGCGTATGTTTTCACCCCCTTTGTTATGAAGTCCATAAAAAGCTCTGGTGCAACCAATTACCTTCA